TACTGGATTCTAGGGTAACAAAATTGAAATGCATTTTGGAGGAAGGCAGTGGTTTATCAGCTCTATAATCTGCAAAGAAAATTGCACTCGTCATTGGAAGTAGGGCTTGACTCAAAAATATCTTTATCTTCACCTCTGATTTTAAACTGCTGATTTTTTTTTTATTTCCCAGATTTCCTTCCTTTGATGGCTCCAGCTACTTTGTACGTCTCTACACTGAACCCCTACTGGTGAATCTGCCAACACCAGATTTTAGCATGCCATATAATGTGATCTGCCTGACTTGCACTGTGGTAGCTGTGTGTTATGGCTCCTTTTACAATCTTCTGACCAGAACATTCCATGTGGAAGAACCTAAGAAGGGAGGCCTAGCCAAGCGACTAGCAAACATAATTCGTAAAATAAGAGGTGTACCTCTTCTCTGAGGACAGCTGGTGCATGTACTTCTGAAAGCTTTAGGAACTCTCCAGCCAAGAAATGAAGGCCAACTTGTGAGAAGGTAGATGGTTGAAGCAGGGTACCTTTTGCAAGACTTTATTTATTTTCTTGTTACGGATTATTTTTCATGGTTGTTGGATAGCTTCCTTCATTGCTGATCTCAGGACTGTAAATAAAAATGCCCAGGGGATAAGCTTACTCTTTTGAAGATGTTTACATTATCTGAAAAGGCAACTTCAAATAAGACAGAATTGCTCTTGAATTTTTATCTCCCTGGTTTTGGTAAAGTAGAACCACTCTTTATCTCATTAGCTAATTTACTTCAATTGTCCTATATACATACTGAGCTTGCACCTTTTAATTGCGATGTGCAACTTAACTGAAGGCAGAATTTTTTGAGAGCAATGCATCAACACTGTGATGGTGGATGTAAGAGAGAAGAAACATAAAATATTAAATATATAGATTTGTGCTTGAGGGCATTCTGCATAACTATTTAAGTTTGGCAAATTGCTATTTTAGAGGAAAAAACAATTTGAAGCACACTGATGCAATTGTCACTGGAGAATGCAGCTTCTAGAAATCTCCATAACAGTTTGTGACTTAGAGCATGAGCTACCTGGACAAAGAATACTCTAAAACAGAAAAAACCATGGTGCTGGCTAATGATACCCACAGGATTTAGATTAAGATGATAATCTAAATTGGGAAATGAATGCTGTTTGTATGCAAACACAAATAGTTTAAAAAGGTTTCAATATATAATTGACAAGTGGTATTAAGGTCTTCATAAAGATCATATTAATCAGTCTTCCATGTACCATACTGCCTGATAGCCAAGCAAAAATTTCACCTGAGTGAACCCATCAAAATCATGCAAGATAAAGAAATTGGTCAATAAGTTTTCATTAGAAAATGAAAAGTTTTCATTTAGAAAACTTATCAGTTTTTATCCCATGTTCACTAATCCAATCTGAAGGATACTGTTATTTTGGTTGATGTTGTAAAGCTAAGGAGAATAAGATTTGGATAGTACTTGGATAAGAGAAAGCCAGGGAATACCTAGTCTGTAAATTAGACAGAAGTTGAAAAAGCATTCAGGAAAAAGGCAGTGGAAAGCACTTGCAGTATTGTCAAGAAAGCTACAAGTATGTACAGTGGTGATAGTTTGTGAATAGCTAAAATGATTCTGATTAAAGATGCAACACCCAAAACAGTGCACGGTCTCATCTTTATTGAACTCTGAGTTAAATATTGTTCATTATTAATGTCCAGAAGCTGAGGGGGTCTGTAGAGAGAAAGAAGCTCACGCTAAATCTGAGTGCTATGGGTTCTAAGGCCTCCCAGATATGGGAGACTTTCTCACATGATCCAACACACAATGGACATGCTCCAGGTCCTTTCAATTAAGCAACATCATTTGATAGGATCAAGAGACACATCATCTCTGGCATGATGCCTTCCCTGTGGAATAGTATACACCTGTGATCCAGATGGCCTACATCTTGCCAGTCTTTTGTGAAGCACTTCCACTGGGGTGCTGGACAAGGATAGTAAGTCTTTAAGGGATGATTAGGCAAGATACACGAGTGACCTCAGAGGCAATGTGCTTTTAGGCTGCTTTGTTTGATACTGTTTGCTGTTTTGATCAGATATTAGCTGCCTAGAGCTCCAATTCTAGTTGGATAGCCATCTGAATTGAATCTACAAATAAATATTGTAAAATCCAAATGTGACCTTTGGTCCAGAAAAAAAATTAAATCTGTTCAAAACCACATTTCGATTTGCATTCAGATTTTTTTATTTCCAAAACAATCTATACCTGAAAGGCAAATTACTAGCCATGGCCTGCTCTTAATGAGTTTCAAAGAAAGTTCATTACTATTATCAACAATGGATCTACTTTCTATGTTCTATAATCTAACCACATGAATTTACATATTTAACACCATATAAAAAGTTGCTATTACCTTGTTACAAAGGTAATTCACTGGAACATTAACTTATTCTATTTGCTGATCCTACTGCTACCACATTGGGGTTCAGGTTATTGACTTTATGACTGGCTCACTCTATGCAAGGAGGCATATTGTCTTTTTCACTACTTCTCTAACAATTAGGTGGTAATTAAGAGTCAAAAACATTTGAAATCTATTAAGATAACTATATGAATAAGACTAACTCAAGGTTGACAGCCTTCCAAGGTCGGTAAAATGAGGACTCAGATTGTTGGGGTAATATGCTGACTCTGTAAACCACTTAGATCAGGGGTCTTCAAACTTGACAGCTTTAAGACTTGTGGACTTCAACTCCCAGAATTTCTCCTCCAGTCATGTCAGCTTAGGAATTCTGGGAGTTGAAGTCCACAAGTCTTAAACTTGCCAAGTTTGAAGACTTGACATAGAGAGTGCTGTAAAGCACTATAAAGTGGGGAATAAGTCTAAGTGATATTGCTATTATATACCACCAGAAGGTGGTATCTGCATCAGAATATTGAGAAAGATTAACATTTTTGAACTTTATAATACACACTATATTTATTTTATTTGGTTGGTCAATTGCTTACAAGGTAATAGGTATAAGTAAAAACATAGTTATGAATACATGGATACATATAAGAACGGTAGGCACGTTGATGCGCTTATGCACGCCCCCTACAGACCTTAGGAAAGGGGTGAGGTCAATAGTAGACAGTCTAAGGTTAAAGTTTTTGGGGTTTGGAGAAGAAACCACAGAGTCAGGTAGAGTATTCCAGACATTGACCACTGTGTTGCTGAAGTCGTATTTCCTGCAATCAAGTTTGGTGCGATTAACCTTGAGTTTGTATCTATTGTTTGCTCTTGTATTGTTATGGTTGAAGCTGAAGTATTCATTGACAGGTAGGACATTGCAATGTAAGATTTTATATACTATACTTAGTTTGGACCGAAGGCAGCGTAGTTCTAGGTTGTCTAGGTCTACAATTTCAAGTCTGGTGGCATAAGGTATTCTGCAACGAGTAGAGGAGTGGAGAACTCTTGTGAAATATTTCTGGATTTTCTCCACTGTGTTAATATCAGATACGTAATGTGGGTTCCAGACTGATGAGCTGTATTCGAGTATTGGTCTAGCAAATGTTTTGTATGCTCTAGTTTCTGGCCACTTTGTTTAAATACGTCTTTGTCTTTCTATTCAATTAATATTTGAAAATGGCATTTGTTTAGCTATTTCATGCAATGAAATAAATCCAGATATTCCTCCCCTAGTATTTAAAACATACAATTTTTTTAAAAAAAAGTCTTATGAAAGAGGTATAACTGCACAAAAATTGAACCTAAGTAATGAGCAAGCTGTACAATTTGTAAATCACCATGCTGAGTCTCAATGAGCAAGCTATACAATTTGTAAATCACCATGCTGAGTCTCAAAATTGATCAGCAAATCATACAAGGGCCTCATTTAGAGCTACATAAATTCGCTGAATTTCAATATGCCACAATTGAGATCACAAACTTTCTTTTTGGCAGTTCCCTTCTTCCTCAAATGCTTTCACCAGATTCTCAAGCTTAAAGTACTACTAAGCACTCTCCCATTTCTGTCGCGAGAGGAAGAGGGGTCTCTGTGTGTCTGAAGGCAGGATAAAACGTACTTCTCAAATGAACGTGTGTGTAAATACAAAAACATAAGCTATCTCAGCCTAGTTAAAAGCCATTCCGTGTACAAAACAAAAAGGGTCTCAAACTCCATTCCAATAAAAAGAATTTACCTCCCCCCCCCCCAATCCCAATAACAAACCAAACGAACGAGGCAACTAAGTTCATAGACTCCTGCATCAATTTCAGGTCCCCAATTAAATGTGACAAAGACATTTTTCAGTATCTCTGAAAAGGTCAAAACAAAAACTTCTGTAAGATAAAAAAAAACATTTTTTGCGAAGACCATAATAAAGAGCAGAGCCTTTTCAGCCCCGATCTGCTATCTTTCTGCCTTGCAAGTAATTCATAGCGAGTGAAGTGTTCCAAAGTGGTCTCCTCTCCAACCTAGATTCTGGCTTGCTGCGTTTCCACCTCCTGTTGTGGCCGAAGCCCCAGACAGCATGGGGCCTCTCACCTTTCCAGAAAAACGACCCCCGTTACCGTATTGCGGTCGACAGCATTAAACGAGGTAAGAGCAGGAAACCAGCTTCTTTTGTCATCACAGCAGTGCAAGCCACACATACTACTATTACTACTACGCCGCCGCCGCCGCCGCCGCCGCCTTCGAAATCCGTTGTCTGTCGTATTCCACTCCGTACTTTCCATCCAGCTTCCCTCCTCGTTCTCTTCCATGCAGACTGCACAGTATTTATAATGCATCTTCAGCTTCCAGCCTAACGAAAAGGACCTTCCCTCCTCGTCAGATCGAGGACGGTGGGGTTGTCTACAGCAATGCCTGTCGGAACAACGCTTGATTCTTGGGAACAGCTCGGCGGTTTCTGTAGCGGGAGAGAAAAAGTGGAATGAAAGGCTCGCGCGGACAGCCGCGGGTTATCCTCCAGGCTTCCAGGAGAAGTAGAATCGCGAGCGCTATTTAAAAAAAAAAAAAACAGGCGCCGGGTTGGACGATCCAAACGACAGTTGAAGGCCCTGCGTGAAGCGAGAGACCTGCGAGCGAATTAGCGTGGCGAGGGGCGACGACGGGGCGCTATGGCGTGGAGGGAAGGTAATACAGCTGCCGGGGGCGCGGTTGGGAGCTGCCGAAGGTGCTGAGGGCAACTGTCGCCGGGAAGGTATAAGCCCGGCGGATTCGCTCCTGTCCCTCGACGGCAACCCTGAAAACATATGTCGTCGCCCTGGGTGAGGGGAAGGGTGTGCCGGGTACCCATAAGCAGAGCTTTGGCGGCGTGGGGGACGGAGTTTGGGCGGGTACGCTATGCCATACGAGCCGAGGCGATCGTCCCTGGACTGCGGTGTCCGTGGCGGCTGATCGGCTGGACCGAACGATCGGCTCTCCACCCCACCCTCCCAACAGATCCGTTCCCAGGGAGGATCGACCTGGGAAGTTCGGCTCTGCAAACGTAAAACGGATCGGCAGAACCGCCCCCCCCCCCTTCCCTGCCTGCCCAGATCCCGACATTTGCTTCTGGAAAACCCTGCAACAAGAGGATGGTTATTGGCTGCTTTTCGGTTCAGCCCTAGTCCTCTAAAAGCAGCTCAGGCAGAGGGGGAGGGGGAAAAAAGAGGGTAGCCAGAAGTTATAAATCTTTCGAAAAATGGACAACTGGAACAACTAGCTTAGCTGGCTGCACTGGTTGCTCCGAAGGGACAGAAAGGGTTGTGGGAAATGGATCCACGAAGGGCTGTTACACAAGTCGCAGCATGAGAGACCCAGGGTTTGACAAGAGCCTTTTGGGAGGGGCTCCATAGAGGCATATATGAAAGGCTGCTGTTGACACCGAATGGTGAATTAAAGGGGTCTCGTGCCTTGACCTCTCACACTTCTTCAATATCAACTCCTTTTACAGAGGTCATTGTAACTCTAATTATCACTGTTCGTGGTAGGCTTACTTCTTACTCCAAGTCTTCCATCATACTCTCTTGCTTTGGGCATTAAGAATAGGCAGTAGGATGATAGTTAAATTGGTTTGTACAAGTGGTAGACTAGTAAAATCGCCCATGCTTTTTCTAAAATGGGAGTCTCTATCATAAAGTATTTCAGCATAGGGATTTAGTAATCAGTTTTAATAGTTCAATAAGAGATCTAGAACACCAACATGTTCATACAGATATATATATGGACGGTTGAGAACTGAATAAACATTAGTTTGCAAGCCTCTTTCCTGTTACAACATAGCGCTAAAGAGCTTGGAACAGAGCGTTTTTTCCCTTGCTGGAAAACTATGGAAATTATACAGCTAATGCAGCTTTTGACAGGTGTATATTTTGGATTACTTTAGTTCTCTGTGTGTGGAAACTTAATGTTTTAGAAAAATCAAGAGGCAAATTATTCCTTCTGGTATATTTATGATTATTCTGTTTTCATATCTGACGTGTCTCCTTTAATTTTTGAAACTAGTTGATGCAGTAGGTAGACAACTACATTGAAGTGCAAGGAAGAAATACATTTGTAAATCAGATTTGTGTCCAGTACATTATAGAGAGATAAAGGAAAATGTTATGAGACTATCAAGATAGTTTGATTCCACAGATTAACTGTTGGGATTGTGCACTAAAAATTGTAGTCCAGATGTGAATAAACAAATAAGAGATTCTGATTATTTTATTATAATTGAAGGCCCTCTCCTGCTTTTATGTGAATTTTACTGTTTACCTTTTTGAATTTAAGAAGAGGTTTTCTGTTCCAAATTGTATAGTTCCGGGGAATTTTGATAATTATCTGTTTCAACTCCATATATTCTTCCAGCTCTTTTTCAATCCTCTGATTAACTATGTTTCATAAAAAGAATATTTACATGAATGTACTTTTTTTAAACATTACTCCACATTTGACAGCGATTAAGGCATCTGGCTATAAAACAGGAGACAAATGAGTTCTAATCCCACTTTATGCATGAAAGCAGCTGGGGCCAGTCACTTTCTCTCTTGCTAAGAAAAAGGAAGGCAGTAAGCAAACTTGAAAAAGTATTGCCAAGAAACTGTAGGACTAATCCAGATAATCTCCAGTAGACAGCACTGATTTCAAGATACCAAAAAAATGCTAATAAATCACAGGGGGAAAGTTTTAGTTATACTTGGTCTTTTATCATGAAGTAATTGTTTGAGGTGAATATATTTCACCTGTATTGCTTTTGTGACCAGGATAGTTTGCAGTTTATTGTTTCTGATACACAGATAAATTTCAACCTATTGCTAAGGCCCTCAACAACAAACTGTTTCATTTTCTTTAAGGGAAGAAAGACTATCTAGCTACACTGAACACCAAAGCTACAAAAAAAGGAAAAGATTTCTCTCAATGAAATTGCATGCACTAGGGTAAGAGATTTAACTAATTTTCATTCATTTGCAGCAAAAATAAAACACTGCTGCATTATTTTATTTTTAGCTCCTGTAAAAATGGAAATATTTAATTTTACTGATATTGATCTAATAAAAAGGCACTGAAATCTGGCTTAAGATGAAAATCCTGATTCATAGTATTTCTGCATTTGAAGATTTGATTTTATTGAATAACAAGTTTCTTTGCCAAAAGGGGAAAGTGCCTGCTTTTCCTTTTATACTTTTCACAATTGGAAGATTTAAGATGAATCTAGTATTTTATTTAGTATTTTATTTCTATTATTTCCATATATTTATGTTATATGTTATTTCTCATGCAATGAAACTGTATAGCTTCCACTCATATGGCTTGCATGTCTGAGAATTCAGATTATTGAACAAGATTCTTTTGGTTTTAACTTTTTCAGATATTCTTGATAGCTCAGGTTCTTCTGGTAGACTGCTGGAAAATGTTGGATAAAAGCTTTATATAGTTTCTTGTCCCCAGATATTTAGCACAAATAAATGTAAAATGTAGACTCTCTTGCTCAATGTTCATGAAAACTTTGTAGGCTGTGGCCAAATATAAAGGAGAACTAGTCATGATCTATTTCATGCCATTCCCAGATGATCTCACGATGTTGGCATGTAAATGTCTCAAAGTGGCAACGAAATAGGAATTAAGTTTGTAATGGATGATATATGCTAAGAATGTGGAGAGGAAAGTGATCAAGCATGAACTACAAAGTTATTGTTTTCATTGTTCTTGTACTTTGAAGTTAATGCAAATTTGATTACTTGAATGCTCCTATTAAATCTTTCCTGTTGACTTCAATGCAAGATACAAGGAAATATCAGATGATCAGTAGTACAATATGTCTAATTAATGACAACACTTAGTGAACCTTGGGTAATCTAAAAATATCTCAACAGAGTTAGAGATGAATAGTACTTTATAGGAAATTCTAGACTATAACTGAGATTGGAATTTTGAAAAAAGTTCCCAGAAGACAGTGGCGAAGTACTATACTACCATGTTGGTAGCAAGAAATTTGCGAAATCACTAGGAGTTGAACTAGTTCAGGGGTGTCAAATTCAAGTTCCAAGGGCTGGATCCAGCCCACAGGGTGCTTAGATCTGGCTCGAGGGGCCACCCTAGAAACAGCAAAGGACCAGCCCGCAGTGCCTCTGCCAGCAAAAATGGAGCTCAGGAGGGCCCTCCCGAGCTCCATTTTCGCTGGCAGAAAGTTGCAGGAGGCTGTCACAGCTGAAAACGGAGCTCAGAAGCCTGTTTTTGCTGGCAGAGTGCTCCGGCCACCACAGGTGCCCCAACACGAGTGATGTTGAACTGGCCACGCCCACTCCAGTCCCCCAAGGTCAAACAAAAGCCTGATGCGGCCCTTAATGAAATCGAGTTTGACACCCCTGAACTGGATGAATCACTTGAGCTGGCTCATACTTAAGTGGTGATCAGTATGCAATTTTTATTCAACATACAGGTTTTATAATACACCAGAAATACCTAGTGTTTTGATGATTCTACATAAAATAGTAAAAATTGTGTCAAATCCAAGTTGCTTCTCACTTTGGAAAAATTTATAAATGAGTAATAGGCTTCCAATTCCCATAAGTATCTGCTTCCACCTCTCAGATACTCGATTCCAACATCAGTAAGGACACATTTAGATTTCTGATTCCTATATAATGATAGATCATAATGTTGTTTGTTTATTTTGGTTTAACATGTGTGATCTAACTTACTGTGCCTTGCCCAATTAGCTGTGAAAAAACCCTCACAGTATAGCTCTCTGTTTTGTTATGAAAATGCCTTTTCAACAGCTACAGTAATGAGCAAAGCCATTCATACTGTAGCTGGATTCATGCATCATTCTAAACTTCACAATAGAGCAAACAGCCAAGTCATATTACAGCTTGGTTCCTACATCATGCTTAACGATAATATGAATAAACCATAATTTGCTAGTTTGACAATAATAAACCATGAGTTATAAACAATGATGGTTAGATTTATATAACACTTTAAATCAAGATTACCTCAACAGAACTCAGTGTATATATTCACAGTTTAACGTGTTCACACAACATTATATAGCCTTGATGGCACAGTGGTTAGAATGCAGTACTGCAGGCTCCTTCTGCTGACTGCCAGCTGCCTACAATTTGGCAGATCGAATCTCACCAGGCTCAAGGTTGACTCAGCCTTCCTTCCTTCCAAGGTGGGTAAAATGAGGACCCAAATTGTTGCGGGCAATTGGCTGACTCTGTAAACCGTTTAGAGAGGGCTGTAAAGTGGCATATAAGTCTAAGTGCTATTGCTATTATGCCAGAATTTAAAATCACAGGTTTTTGAAGAAACTATAACATCCTGTAAAATGCTAGGCCTGGGTGTGTGCATTATTTATTTCATTAGATTTATGTCCTGCCTTTCCTGTAAGAGTTCAAATATTCCCTCTCCCAAATTCCCCCATAGCAACAATCCTATGGATAGGTTGGGTAGCAGGAATCTTCAGAACCACAATATGGTGAACTATGATAGAGTCCTTGACAGGAGCAATGGTACTTGGTACTTGCTACTTGGAAGGGAGTGCAACTCAGGGTTCTGTACATGCTACACCCTTAACCAGTAAAAGAAGGGGAAAAGTTACTCACTGACTTTCCCCTGTAGGTTTTCCCCTCTGAAAAAGTTGACCAGCAGTCTTAAGAATGGGGTGGAAGGGGTCAATACCATCCCTTTCCCAATTCAGTTTTCTGGAACCTTATCTGGATTTTGGGTTTGCCCATCAAATGGGGATGCCCTTCAGCTTTGGCCTGTTAAGTTTTCAAGTACCTATGGAATACTGTAAAAGCCATTAAAAGGAATTTGAGCAACTACATTGAAAACTCTAATCTGTATTTTAAGAGAGATACTTGCTTGAGTGTAGGCTTTTAAAAAATACTTTGAATATCTAATGATTTCTAGATTTTTTTTAGAACAAGTAGGCAAAAGGCTGATACTGTTTTTGCCTGCATCAACTGCAAGAAGAAAGTAATCAATAAAGTGGGACTTCAAAAATAATTGAATGTTCCCAACTTAGCCTTATATGGTGGCTTCTATAACAGTATACATAATACTATCTGATAGCTTTTCAATAGAAAAAAAATCAGTAGAATAGTCTTATATCTTCGCTAGTTCTTTGTTATCTCTGTCTGATTCTAAAAGGCTTGTTTTGCTGCCACAAAAGAGAAACAGTTATTTACACTTGCTTTGTTCTCTACCCACAAATGAGGTAGTTACAAACCTCAGGTCACTCTTGTCATATACACTGCAAGTACTGCCATCATTTAAGAGAATCACAGGCAGGTTGCACAGTAATAATCTTCCTTAATCTTTTTTCACGTTCATAATTACAGCAATTTTAAGAGTTTCTGAATGGAACTGGGACATTTGACAGGCTGATATGATGGAGAGGCTTATTTGTGGGGGAAATGTATTTCAAGTGTCCCAGATTCCAAAGTTACATTATCTATATGACTTGGCTGTTAAATAAGAAAGCAAGCTATTAAACATATACTTCTCTAAAGAGCTTTTTGTTGTTGTTTTTCCTTAAACTTTGTCCTAGAGAGAAGTGTGCATGATCTGAATCTGATGAGATGATCTCTATGTATTTTTTATCAGTTGAAATGATGTATAAGATACTATCATATAAGATAATGATAAGACAATATACAGATGTTTAATAATATGTTCCGTAATATCATGTGCCTGCTTGTGAATATTGAGTGTATTTACAGGTTGGGAAACTACCTCTCTTCTAGTGAATCATATCCAATTCCTCTTTCTTGAGCACAAATTTACCATGTATCCTCAAATATTTATTCTTATATTAAATAAATGCTGTTCAGCAGGGTGCCATGGTTCAAAATTATTTGTTTCTGCTTTTATTTTAAGGAAGCCACATTCAATTTTACTGAGACATTCTGCCTTCATAATTAAAAGTGCTATTGCTTCCTCTTACCTGAATCTTAGGAGATGGGAGCTAAGATTCATTTTATTATTTAATTTTATTTTATTTTATTTTACCCCCTATCTTCCCTATAAGGTGACTCGAGACTATTTACAAGTTATAAGTACAAAACAATTAAAATATCAAAACATTAAAACTATTCAGATTATAATTTTAAAATTATACTGAAACCAGAACCAAGAGACAGGATATGGATGAGGTCTTCTTACTCCATCAGCCACTTCAGTGATGAGCGTCCTCCTTGGGGGCCCAGGCCAACCAGCAAAGCCAAGTTTTAATACTCTTCTGAAAGACCAAAAGGGTGGGCCTCACCTTGGTGGTAGAATGTTCCATAGGGATGCAGTCACAGCAGAAAAGGTTTTTCTCCTGCTGGAATTCCTTAGCAGATGGGGTCCACAGTAGATCTATTCCACTGGTGTGAGTGAGACGGGCTAGTCCAATTGAGGAGAGACAGTTCCTCAGATACATGCCATGATGAGATGCATTTCTTGCCAGAGTAGTAAGAGATGCATTTCTTGCCAGAGTAGTAAGTTACTATCTTGGCAAAGTTAACATACCAGTGCATTACATTGCACTTCTTTGTTTCCGTATAAATGGGAAATATATACTGCTGCAGATATAAAGTTAATTTTAATCATCAGCTTTCCTATCCAGTACTAAAGCTAATTATATTGTGGTTCATAAGTTGTACAAGTGTGATGTCACACGAGATTTTTTTTCCTCTGGGATTCCTTTCTTCAGCTAAACCATAAATCTGTTTCCCAGATTCAGTAAATTCTTAGGAGTATATCCTCAGTTACATTTCTGTTGTTCCAAGAAGCAGGACTATGAAAATATAGTATAACTAGCTCATTACATTTTTATAGCAAAGTTGGATTATTTCTTCAAAATGCATGTCCTCGTTTTTAAGCCCCTTATTTTCTTAGCATTTCATTTGGAAATTAAAAGTTAGCTTATATTTCCTCCCAAAGATCAGAAGCTAGTGGGATTGTTCCATATATGAGAGGACCACTGTCTTACTCCCTGGTTCCCAGTTTTTGTTTTCAGCACTTTCTTTTTTCCCTTGTCATCAAAGTTGAGCAGCATTTATTTAATGCATTTTACATTTTAAAAATGATGCATATAGATTTTCAACCTCCCCATTATGACATTGTCATATAGGTAAATCAATATTTACTCCAAATAGTTTATGATGCCGGTCTGAGAATGAGAAATGGTGTCTTTAAAATCCTAGTTAGTTGATTTAGGTTAATTTAAGCCAGGTAGTCTTCAACTTATAACCATTCTTTTAGTGACTGTTCAAAAAAGTGAAAGTGAAATGACCAGTTCTCACACGTACAGCTTGCAACATTCCCATGGTCACATGATCAAAAGTTGGCTGCTTATCAACTGGCATTGTATTTACAACAGTTGCAGCATTCCAGGGACGTGTGGTCACCATTTTCAACCTTCCCAGCCGGTTTCTGACCAGCAAAGTCAATGGGGGGAAACAAATTTGATGGACAACCACATGATTCACTTAACAACTGCAGTGTTTTGCTTAACAACCATGGCAAAAAAGGGTTGGCAAACGGGGCACAACTCAATTAACTGCTTTGCTTAGCAACAGAAATGTTGGGGTCAATTGTGGTCATACATTGAAGACCACCTATATTGGCTTTTATATTGGATAGTTCTATATCAGCCTCAATATTTGAAGAGAAAAGGGAAGAACAGCATTTCTCGTACATTATGTTGATTTCCCCCCCCCCAACCCCCTCCCCTGTTATGGTAACTTCATTGCAGTAAGGAAGATGTGTAGAGAATATATTTCCAATTCAGGAAGCTGTTGTCATTCATATTCGGGAAGTTTTCACATGTTGATCCTCATAGTGGGAATTGTTTTTGGACTTTTTCAAGTGTATACTCAAAAGCAAGGTACCCAGATGTATTGAAGAAAGTGTGCATAATAGAAAAACGATTGTGGTGCTGCAAATGTTCTGTGCCCACTGTCTTGGAGAAGAAATGACTAAAATTTTATATTGTAAGAGATAGTTCCTAGGGATTTGGGGATACAATAACATTTAAGTTATTGTAGGTAAGTTCTGGGTCTCTGCTGGATTGTATTAGTAAGCAATGCAAATGTAAAAAAAAACATGTTACTGACCTGTCCTTTTTTCCCCTCTCTTCCTTTTCTGTCAAGATTTACTTGCACATTATTCCCAAGTTTTATGAAGACTAAGTACCTGGTTGGTGAAGAGCTGAATGTGCAAAGGAGAAATTTCATACTGCGACTTGGATTGCTGCCATCACTGTGACATCCTGATCCCCCGGCATCATGTACTGTCTCCAGTGGTTACTGCCCGTCCTCCTCATTCCCAAGCCCCTCAACCCAGCCTTGTGGTTCAGTCACTCAATGTTCATGGGCTTCTACCTTCTGAGTTTCTTGTTGGAGCGGAAACCTTGCACAATCTGTGCCTTGGTCTTCTTGGCTGCTCTGTTTCTCATCTGCTACAGCTGCTGGGGGAATTGTTTCTTATACCACTGCTCTGGTTCCCAACTGCCGGACTCTGCTCATGATCCCAATGTAGTTGGCACCTAAAATCTTCTACTTGGTTGCACTTTTTTTTTTCCTTTTAAAAGGGCGGTGTCATGGGAAGGAGGGAATATAAGGCATGTGATTGGAGTACATGTTTCGGTTAAAATGTTTCATTCATGATTATCCGCACTTCCACAATTTTCCTGTACAATTTGACAAAAGTTGTTATTAGTAATAGCTGGCAATGCTGTCTGTTCGAGGGTTTGAAGCAGAGCTGCTAATGGGTGCCATCCCTTCCTTCGGTATTATCGTTTGAGTTTGGTCCTTCCATTTCCAATTTGGAGGTGAAGAGACCTGTTGAGTGTTGTCTAACGTCAAATGAGAAGGTAGCCATCCATCCTTTGGAACATGAATGTCAGATCTTTGTTGAAACAGTTGCAACGCTGTTTTTCCATCTTGAGTTCGGTAGAAAGCTAGTCCTTCTCACGGTATTCATCTGAAGGGGAACTATCAAGTGGTTGATAAGCCTGACAGCACCTGGAGCCAGAAGCTGCTTATTATCTCAGCAGGCCATCCTGGAACATGTATACTGCCCGTTTCCCAAACTACTTCATCTATGTCACAGCTCAAAAATTCCAAAATCATCACGATGCCATTTTTAATGCACAAATGCCGAAGCTTGTCTCTCTTTCTCTCTTTCTTTCTTTCTCTCTTTCTTTCTTTCTCTCTTTCTCTCTCTCTCTCTCTCTCCCTCCCTCCCTCCCTCCCTCCCTCCCCCCCCCTTTCTCTCTCTCTCTCTCTTTATCCCAAACATCTACTTTTTATGGAGGACCCTGAATTGGAAAGAAAGCATGCACTGCTGTAAAGCTTGGGGAATTTTGTTTTTTATTGTATTGCTTTTGAATTTTAAGCTGCCAGTGTTTCTAGCTTGAAAAAGCAACCGGAGTGCGGGGATGGATCAGTATATCAGGTCTGGTTTCTCCATACCAAGGTGGGGCTGTCAGTGGAGTATAATGTGCTGCTTTTTTCTTTTAGGCCAAAAGTATTATGTTATCACAAGCAAATGAGCCTGTGTTCACATATATAGGTGAAAGAAAGTGACATCTGTTTAAGCTACATATCTTCATAGGATTCTGTGAAGCCGTTTTTCTAGTGGTACCTGGCTCGTGGTTTTCTTCTTCTCTCCTTTTCTCCACTGAGACTTTGCTTTCTTTCCTCCTCAAGAGCTAATTGCTGGTGTGAAATTCTAAGGTAGCCTGAGGAAAAGACAAACAGATACCTGTTCTGTTACTTTCCAAAGTTATTTTCTCATTTGTCTCTACACAATCTTCCTTGGAAGAATGTTGCTGAAAAGGCATTTTTGTCTCTCTCAAAGGACATGGAACTGAAAATCCAGTCGTGAAACCTCAGTAGCTTTTTTAAATTATTTTTGTTGGTTATTCATTGCACAGCTGTTCAACAGATTTAATAAAGCTTTATAAACTTTGGTCTGTGGATTAGTGCCATTTATGATGCAGTCACATTTTCACTGGACTAAGACCTTTGCTTTCAAGGCAGCTTATCTTTTTCACAACTTCCTAAAGCCATTTTTATTTCCAAAGTGTTTTGATTGCAAACCAAATAAGTTTTTATGTGCCAATCTAGGCACTGACCTGACCAATTTCACAAAACGTTCCAGTAACTGTGTATCTTGATATGGAAAACAGTAGAGCTTTCTGGACAATAAAGGGGAACAGAAACTATTTTCTTTCTTAATTGACTTTCCTAATCTTTTTTAACAGTACAGGGAGCCCTCAGTACCACAATTGGGGCTGGAACATCCTTCACTGTTAAGTGAGCATGTCAGATTTTACAGCTTTTTTGCTATGATTGTTAAGCAAATCAAGTCATTAATCAAAACTGGCAAATCCCCTCCCCCATTGATTTTGCTTGTGGAAAATTGGCTGAGAAAGTTGCAAAATTGTGCTGCAACCATTATAAATACATGCGGGTTACCAAATGTCCAATTTGGCTAAAATTGGGAGCCAATTTTGGTGTTGTCTAGATTGCATTAATCTCCCTTGTTTTTGTCATGTAAGAACTGCTTGAATTGTGCATAAGTAATAGCCTCGGTAGTTTTTCTTTAAAAACCTATTTTTCCTGATTATTTATTTATGAGACATAAGCTGATCAAATTTCTTCTCTGACTCATGTTTTTTTCTAAAACTCTGCATTAGCAGTTTCTTTTTTGGCCCCGGGAGGCTCATAAACAAAACTATAAAACTTAAATTACTGTTTCTTTTGCAGCTTTAATTTGCCTGATATCAAATGTGAAATTCTCTTGACATTGCTATATTGAGGGAATTCATAGATGTTAATCAAGAAAAAGGTGGGGATGCAGCAAGAATAGTAAATTAGAAAACACAGATTTAAATTATTATAAAATTTAGTTTTTGGTAATTATGTAGCATCTAAGGTTTTGAAATATACATGCTTGCTATAAATTTTATTTCTTTTTAAGGCTGTCTTATTATTTGGGCAACATTTTGTTTCACACTTTAGATAAAACAGTTGCATGTGTTTGTGTGCTAGTAACAGAAAAATGTCTTTGACAATAATTACAGATAAGCTTTCTTTTGCTATTGATTTTACTTTATTCCCAGTCAATAATAAAATATATGTTTAAAGATAGAGAGAATCCTATTAGTTTATAAATATTTTTAGGTAGCTTCACTGATCACCTCAGATGTATATCTTGTATTTTGTTGAGGCACAGAACATTTTCTCCTCCAGTTTTTCCCACAATTACCCTATATGGTAGTTTGGGCAGAAAGAATGACTGGCTCAAGGTCAAAGGATGAGGGTGGATGTGAATCTGAATCTCTATAGTAGCAGTCCAACAACTTAATTTCTCACTAGTGTTGGCGAATCTATGACAATTCTATCAAAGGCGACATGCCGCTATCTTTTGGGTGACACATCAGCGTTGATCAGCACCCCATGATTATTCTTAAAAACACACCCTGCTAATGCAATTTGTGGAGGTTGCACAAGAATGGTTGTGCTCTCATGTGGCCTCCAGAGCCTTTGGAAATCCTGCAAGAGCGTGATCCTCTGGGGCCTCTGCAAATCATGAAAGATTTGGGCCATGGTTTCATGCGGTTTTTGGACACTGCAGAAGAGCCCCCAAAGTGGCTTCAAGGATAAAGGCCTCATGCAACTTCAAGCAGCCTCAGCTAGGTCACAGGAGCCTTTCAACAGAAAGAGAACGCTGCCTGAAGGTAAGCAGCATGCAGCCAGTTCCTATGGAGTGCTGCACTGCAGGGAAATTGCATCTTGGGAAACAGCTCAAGATGGCCTTTAATCTACACAAAATGGTTTTAAATCTTGGCAATTTTTAAGATGAATGGACTTCAACTCCCAGAATTTCACACTCAGCCATGCTGGCTGTGGAATTCTGGGAGTTGCAATGTATAGATCTTAAAAGTTGTCAAGGTTGATAAACACTACTAGTTTTCCAGAAGTGATTTAGTTCCTCTGTCTTGTGAGCTATTTCATTTTCTGCAGAATGCCACACATAGTTACAGCCTCAAATACAAACTGAATGCTTGGAACTAACAATTAAAAAAAAAATAGAAGTACAGCAACGAGAAAAATAGATATACAAATGAAAATGCTTTTAACTTGCTTTATTTCAAAGGCATGTGTGAAAAGAGCAAGTAAATATGTTAAGAGTTAAATGTAGAATGGCAAGAGGGAGACAATGGAACTGGTGATCAGCAAAAGTTTCAGCAGACAAAAATAATTACTGGAGAAATGTTGGTTCATAAAGTGGAAAAATTGAACTCTAGTTTCTCCCTTGATGAAAATCCTTATAGCTGGATCCTAGTGTGTGAACCTGAATTCATCAGTAGGCTCCAGGTAATGAAGGTAGGTTATCTAAACTTATACCTATCCCGACTAAACTGAAGCGATGTGGCCCACAGATCAAGTTCACAGAAATCTAGCTTTTGATGTAAGTAACACTACACATAGCTCCTTTTAAATGAAAGTTTAAATGTATTTATATCCTCTTTATTAGTGTACTATTGAGTATTGTGGACTTTGATCGAACTGATTTTTTTTTTTTTTTTGTAAATTCTGCAGATAGGGCAACTGGAGTTTTTGTTTCAGCTCATGTAATTTTCAAACATCTGCCAGGGGAAGTTGGCTAGCACCTACCTATATTTAATTTTGAAAAACCGAGTAGGATTGCATCTGGTTAATGCCACAATGGGAGACCATCTGCATATCATAGGGCTGTAAGTGGAAAAGCATCCTGCAATGGCAAATTATTTCTGCATTCATTTAGAAAATTACACCCATGTGTTAATGATTATTTTTAAGATCCAAGAGTTCTTTCCCACAAGCTAAGCATTCACTTTCCTGGGAAAAAGATTCATAATGAATGATATTCAGTGTTTTACTTACTAAGTAATAAAATACTACAACACAAAATGACATGTTACTATGAACTGATTTTAGTATGCAGGTGATGGGAGCTTTGTGGATTTTTTATGGTTTAATTTGAGATTTAAAATCCATGCAAAGAGATTACACCCATGATTTAGAAGTGCCATAATGGGTTTTGTTTTTTAAAAAATACCTTGCAGAATTAGAAAATGAATTATGAGCATCAGATTCAGTACAATGCTTTTCATAATTAACTTATTGTACATTAATCAGTGGTTCTCAACCTGTGGTCCATGGTCCTCTGGGGGGCAGCGGTGTCCACAAATCCGCGAAGGCTTGAAGAAATATTATTTAAATCTTGAATTACCGTATTTATCGGCGTATAACACACACTTTTTCCCCCCTGAAAATAGGGGGCAAATGATGTATGCGTGTTATACGCCGATATAATGTTAAGAAGCCAGCGGAGGCCGGGCGGTGCGAGCGGAGGCCGGGCGGTGCGAGCGGAGGCCGGGCGGTGCGAGCGGTGCGAGCGGAGGCCGAGCGGTGCGAGCGGAGGCCGGGCGGTGCGAGCGGAGGCCGGGCGGTGCGAGCAGAGGGCATTATTTTGCATTATTTACCTTATAAGTGGTAATAATATTAATAAAAAAAAAGTTCTGAGCTACCCTTATTTTGCTTCAAAGTTTTTATTTAGAAATTTAATTTTTTTTCCTGAAATTTCCCTCTTAAAATGAAGATGCGCGTTATACGCCTGTGCGTGTTATACGCCGATAAATACGGTAAGTCTTGGTGGTCTGTGGTCATGGTCTGTGGCCACAAAAGGTATTTAAAGGGGGAGTTTGTGGTGAAGAAAAAGTTGAGAACCACTGACTTAGATGACATTAATTGAACACATGTACAAATAAGCCAGACAAAAAAATCCAGGTTTTGGGGGAGCAGTATTTCAGCCAGTTGCAGGATATATTAAAATTTGGTTTCTTACAAAATGTCCTTACTTGGATAACAGCAAAGCAGTAGCTTGATATAATAAAACAATCTAAACAACGTTAAAACTACAGGCAGTCCTCACTCAATGACTGATGGCCATACACAAACGTCACATGATTGCAATTTGGGCACATGGCAACTAGTTCATCTTTACAGCAGTTGTAGTATTCTGTGGTCATGTGACCACAATTTATTACATTTTTTCTGGTTTCTGGAAAAAAAAAATCCTCGTAGGAACACATGGATTTGCTTAATAACCTTGGTGTTCACTTAACCTCAGCATTCACTTAACCATGAATGAAAAAATCTGAGCAACAATGGGTTGAGTCAAGTGGATGCCTT